ATATTATGAAGCCAGTTGGCCAGAGAGTAGTGGATGCTTCACAATCTTAAAAGATGTACTGGCATCCACACTCCCCAAAGCACACTGGAATGCTCAGGTAAATACTCTACCTCTACATTATCCTTGGCTGGATGTGTGCCACTATGGCACTATAGAAGCCACGGGTGTGTGCTGTGACTTTCTGTGAGAATCACTAGTTGGCTATGTCTACGCTATGGAGTTTTTCCCGGGAAACTGGGAACGTGGCTGCTTTTTCAGAGCAGTTTCTGAAAAAGCGGGCACGTTCTTTTAGATGTTCTGTATAGATGGGACAAATGTCAGAAAAGCCTCTTCCAAAAAAACCCAGGAATAGTTACTCAAATTGCAGTTTGCAATTTGCATATCTTTTTCAAGAAAAAGAACCCAGTGTAGACATAGCTGTTGTCTGCTGCATGGCAGAGGCAGGAATTCTGAAAACAATGATTCAAGACTAGGAGAAATATAATGGATAATCGATGAGTAAATTGCTGAAAGCCAGGTCCATGGAGCACCTATGCCAAATCTACAGAGTTTTGCTGGTAATTCAGTTGCCTTAATGCTGTTCTCCAGGAAAGAATAAGATGCAACAAGATTTTATAAAGTGGCACAAGGTGTTCAAATGTTCAGAATGCAACTTATGTTACAGTACATCTATGCAAGTAAGTAAAGGTTTGCTGTATATGAAACAACACCTACCTGGTAATAAAGAGTTGGGATTAAAACAGGGTATTGTTTTGGACTTCCCCTGAAAAATCAATACAAATCCATCTCATCTCCAGTTCTCATTAAAAAGACGTTGAATAGAAAAGAAGTAGCCTTTGAATGTTGTTATCACAGTAAACCTTGAATTTTTGGCCCTAACAACCGCTGTCAACAGCCTCCACTGAATTATTGTTACATTAGTCCTTGCAGCTATACAACCCTTTTCTTTATTTATTTTGTATTTTCTTCCAAGTCTACGCATCCCATTTCTGTGGAGCTCTGCTAGCTTAGTATCTCTCCTTTTGGCAAGACTTTGACTGAAGTTCACTGCATAAGCTTCAGTGGGGCTCCCTGTAAGTGAAGTAGCCTACCTGCAGTGAATTGAAGAAATAGTGCCTAAGCTCTGGCCTATTCTAGGGAGTTATTTCAGAATAACTTCCCTTATTTCGAAATAACAAGCAGAGCGTCCTCACTACCAAGCCCGTTATTTTGAAATAAGGAGCTGGTTATTTCAAAATAGCTATTTCAAAATAGTGGTAGTGTGGACATTCCACCGCTGCTATTTTGAAATCACTACAGTAAACTTCCGATAATCCGGCACCTTTAGGACCCAGAGGGTGCCGGATTATCAGATATGCCGGACTATCAGAAGCGGGGGCTATGAGGGGTCTGGAGTGGGGTGGGAGGGGATGCCACCTCAGACCTCTCATAGCCCCCTTATGATAGTCCCGCTCTGCCCCAGGCATCCCTGATTCAGCCACTGCTGGTCAGTTTCAGCAGCAGCCGAATCAGGACGCCTGGGGTTCTTAAGTTGAATCTGTATGTAAGTTGGAACTGGCGTCCAGATTCAGCCTGTTGAAACTGATCAGAGGCTGATTCCAGGAAGCCCGGGGCAGAGCAACTCAGCCTCGGGCCTCCTGTAGTCAGC